ACAGATGATTGTCTACAATGAGTGACCATAAGGACAGTCACCTCCAGTACCACACTTTAACACCCGATGGGGACGACCAGCACGACTACCCCCTCACACCTCCCCCTTATTCGCCATTTCCGGACCATAATTGTAATCAATGGATTCAATCAATCATTGCATGTGTTTATCATTTAATTATCATTTCATTGTCCGACAGCTTATATGCCAAACCCATGCAACTCGTCTACTATTCCTCCCAACCCTCCCATCCCTCCCAACGTATCCATCGCTGGTCAGCACGTATACCAACAGCCGATGCCTGTCTTCCCTCCGATCACTGCCAACGCAGATGTCTTTCAATCCAATTACGGGACAATCGTTCAGACGGTTCCGCAGACTATCATATTCATCGGCTCGTGTCCGGCCTGTCGGGTATGAGACCTCCCTTTCCCTTGTATTGCAATTCATGTGAAATCCATGTCAAGGTTGGAGTACTGGAGGAAGACTTCACATTTTTGGGCCTATTGTTGGCGATCCTGTGTTTTCCAATCGGAATCCTCTGCTGTTTTGGTACCAATTGTTGCACTCTTTCTGTCATTCATTCATTTGATCCGTTATTTTAAGTCATTTTTCTTTCACTCTTTAGCCTTAAGACAGAGACGTTGTCCTAATTGTGGCACAACTTTTGAGTAAATCTCTATTTTTACATCACTTTTATTATAGATTTTATTTCTGATTAATATTTTACACAAATTTATATAAATTGTATCGAAATTATGATTAAAATATAACGGAATATACAGTCATATAAATTACAAATATAATAAATTTTCACTTATTATACAAAACATGCGAAACAAACACTAGACTAACGCATCTGAGAAAGCAATGGCTGTAATGGCCTTTTGATGTCCATTGTATTCACGTTTGACATCACCAGTGAAGACATTCCAGAGTCGGGCGTTATTATCAGATGAGCCTATCATTGCATATAATGAATGGTATATTAGTGGCTATAATATGGTAAATGTGTTGT